TTCCATAGAAAATGCTCTTGTTATATTGCAGGTAATTAATTTAATTTAATTTTCTCATTATAAATGTTTTCTTTTCAGGCTTGCTGCAGGAATTGCGTTCTTCAGATTCCTAAGCTTTCACAGTTATCCTTTTCTTAGTTACATAGAAGTGAAAATATTTTGCTAATGAAAATTCATTTATGATTCAGTTAGTGAATGTAAAATTTTCAGTATAATTTATTTTTACCTTAATATAAAAGTATAAACTAAAGTGGCATTATTTTGTTGGCAAAGTATTCTAAATTGAGCTTCCGAATAGTAATGGAAATGTTTTAGGGATACCTGATTCATTTGGTTGTATAATTCCTTCATCTAGAGTATATGACTTCATAAAATTTATATTTTATTTTATTTTGCCAAACAAAATTATACAAAGTGAAGATAAGTTTAGGTTATAAGTCAGAGATGCCTATATGCATATTTTGGAAAATTGTTCTTTCACATAGTGTATGTTTTTCAAAAGTCATTGTTTAAAGTTGAAAATATCACAATCTTATTGGCAGTGAATATGAAAATCAAATTTAAGGCCATGTACACAAATCATTACTTTGAATAATGTTTGAATTTTGCCATTAACTTGGTTTACTCCGATACGGAAATTGGAAGATAAATTCCCCCCCCTTGATAATGTGAATGTTTTTTTGTTCTTTCTCTCAATAGCTTATACTTCATAATATTAGTATTCTCTTTCCTCTCTGTAACACTTTTCCCTGCGCATACACCATTTCCTTATTTTGTAACTCCATAGTCTCAAAGAAGGCATGAACATTAAATATACCTCTTTATGTAGCATAAGCCATATTATAAGATTCATATTTTGGGTCTGGTTCAGTCATGGATAATTTGTTTTGTTTTATTAGACCTGTTAATTATCTGACCATACTTTGCCTCATTGGTGTTTTACCAGTAGAGAGTTGCTGACCATAAATAAATAGTTTTTCCTTCTTCTAATTTGATTTGACCTGTTT